TTGCAAGTCCGACACATTGGTCACACCAAGCGTAATCATCACCTCACTTACATGAGGGGTATACACCCACAGGTGTTCGTTGCGAGCCATCCAATTTTCAATTGGCTCCTCCGGATTTTGAAGCCGAGTACCAGTGGATGCAGCCACCGAATTCTTTTGTTCATCAGCTTCTGCTTCATCCAGAATACCTTTTTCACCTTCTTTTTGTGACACATTGGTCATTTGCAGCGCTTTTGGTGCCGAGGATGAGGAAGATTCAGCTCCCCCACTCGCAGGTGGCTGAAAAGTGCTTCTATCCGTAATCTCCCATCCTCTCTCTTTTTCAAACCGGACCTGATTGGCCACCTGTACCAAGTGTTTCAGGAGCGTCAGCCGCTCCTCTGACATCTCGTCGTGGGAGTACTTGCAGAAATTTGACCCTTTCCGGCAACGTCCTCTGAGGTAATAATCGAAACAGCAATGGTGGAACCCTGCGTCCCTTAGTGCCTTCCTGGAAGCATTGTCCCAAGATTTGCCGGGCTCCCAAGTCCCTTCCAATGCTATGTCATCGTTGTGAAGATACCCGCATGTAGTCCCATATTTACAACCACCTTGATTGTAATACAGACACAGACGACCTTTTGGCTCACCCGACGTAGGTTCACCCTTTGATGCACCTTTGCCAAAATTGTACTTGGCCCGGAAGGCCAAATCCTCCCGCTCCTGCTGTGCCTCATCCACTGTACCTTCCTCTGTGGGAGGGTCACCGATGTTCCCATCCTCATCATCAGCTTCTTGGCTATTCTTTGGATCAGTTGACCCTCCTCCTGGCCAACCTTCACCATAACGACGATGCTCATAGGGACAACCATCACCGTTGCGACACCTTCCCTTATTGAAGAACTTGCACAGTTTGCTGTATCCAGGTGACACAGTCTGTGGAGTCATGTGAGCCTTTTTGTACTGGTCAGGGTCCATGTAGGCTTCCATTGGCTTGTTCTCCCTTTTGCTCATGGATTGCACTGCACCATCAAGCTCCTGCAAAAATAGCTTGGTGTCCAACCAAAGCGCGTTCCAAAACTCATCTTCCCCTTGATTCAGCACCGTTGCCACCGCTTCACCCACAACTGGTCGAGTAAATCTCCTTTTTCTGCATGCCAGTTCGAAAAGCGCGTTGTGGTACTGTTTTCGGGAAAAAGTGGTTAACTTTCCCAAGCCTGTGCTTTCTGTACCATCAGGCTTCCAACCATCGTTTTGCAAGATGCCATACGCGCGCCGAGCTTCCGCATTGAGGAATGCCTGATCTGCAACACACTCCTGTAAATCTTCCATCGGGCGACCCAACAGCATCCCAGTAATTTTGCCAACATAGGCTTCCTCTTCGTTTCCATTCTCCAGAAGAGCTTTGTAGATCTTTTCCCCATAAAGTTGCCTTTCTTCTCGTTCTTCAGAGGATAACTCCTGTACCACAAGCTCTTCATCGGATTGCTCTTCCTCCTGTTTCCAGTCCCATTGACCGTTGGAATCTTGGTACCATTGACCAGCATACCATGAATCCGTCCACCACGTACTCCAGCCGCTGGGTTTCCATTTCCGCAGCGTTGAGGAAGAGTCCTCCACGTCCTCTTCCAAAACCAGAAAGGTGTCCAAGATTATGGTACCATCATCTTCCACTAATTTCACTGTTCCATTGACAGTATCACCAAATCTGAACTGACACGTATTGTTCCCTTCTGCAGGAATCAATACATTCAAATCACCAAGGTCCAAAAAGGCTCCATACCCATTGATGCAGCGCACTAGACCCATGATCTCATCTCCCTCTTGATAGCAATGTGTCCCAGGTGATTCCAAGGCTCCCGCTCGGGGCACTTTCTTTGCATGCTCTTCAGAAACCACCTCTGTATCATCGGCTCCTGGCGCATCCTTTGTCTTCACCTTTGGGTCACACTGCTCGTCCTGCTCCACGAGTCCCACAAGCTCATCTTTTTTGTGCTCCTGGATTTCAGGACCTCCCTTTTTCTCCGCCAAAGGCTTTGCCTCATCTGCTGTAGTTCGCTCGGTGTCGACTTCCGGCGAACTTCCAGACGGCAACACTTCTCCCTTCATGGGAGTGGACCCATCATTGGAGTCCTTTGTCACACCTTCTGCAGCAGGCAAATCTTCTTCCACTGCAGGGCGATTGAGTCGATCATCCACGGCAGGCACGCTTTCTTCCACCGCAGGCTCCTTTGGTTCCATGGCTTCCAAAGGAGAATTTCCACCATCGTTGACCACAGCTGCCTCATCGGCTCCGGTGTAGCCCTTGCTATTCCGTTCCTCGCGGCTAACTTCAGGTTGCACCAGTGCGTCCACCTGTGAACCTCCATCATCAGCTGCTGCGGAGACCTGCGCCCCATTGTTGCAGTCGCCCGTGGAACGTAACACCATATGCACCTCAACCCGTGCTTCCTTCGCACTCCAGGTAATATCTGGCGCATCGACCCGCGCATCATTGGCGCTCCAGGCCTCATTTTTCAGATCTTCCGTGTCTCCAGCTATTCCAGAAGCTTCTTTTTCCCCTTGAATGGCAGGAATCTTGGCACCAAACGAAGAGACCTCCTCAGTCGCAACACACGACCTTTTCCCTCCGTCTTCCAAATCTCCAGGACCACATTCCTGAACGACAGGTACCACATCCACCACTCGCTCTTCTGCAGCCGACACAGTTCCGATCTCCACATTGGGAATTTTTCCTTCTGGACCTACCGATTCCACCGCTGCCACACCCTCAGAAAGTGCTCCCATTCCTTCCCGATCCAGATGTTGAGCTCCAGCGATGTCTGCTCGGTTTCCAGGAACCTCCTCCTCATCAGGAGAACCCGAGGTCGGGGCGTCACCACCAGCCCTAGGACCGCTATCCCTGATAGTAGAGGAAAAATCTTTTTCACCTAAACTATTTACACTACCCTGGAATGCCCTCGTAGACTCAGTCTTCGGAGTAGAGGATGAAGAATCCAGTGCCGCCTCCATTTCCAGCTCATTGCCCGAAGGAGACCCAACCACCTCGTCACTCTTCATCTTTTCACCTACCACCGGCAATGTCCACTTGCTTTCCTGCGTATCCAGGCAGTAATAATATTGTCTCCCATCTTCATGGAGGTGCCATTCCCACGTTGTCCCATCGCACGCTTTGATCAGATGCTCATCTTTCCGAAAACCATCCCTTTCAGAGACCTGACGCATCTCGTCCTCTTCTTCTGACAACTGTCGCAACCTCTCAGCCTCCATCTGTAGGATCTCCTCCTCCCCCATGGCGTATTCAGCAGCAGGTGCAGCTTCAAAGCTGTCCGCACCCTTCTGTTCGTGACCGCTTCCACCACCTTGGGAACTCGAAGATGGATCCCTTTTGATCTTGTTCAGAGGCCTCCTGGCCGCTTGCAGCACTTCTCCAATCAGATCGGTCTGAGACTCTTGGTCTACCATTCGACCCGAAGTCGAAGTCGACGGCTGATACCCGTGTTTGTGCAACACTCGTAAAACAGTCACCTCCATTTCACGATCTATACCACCAGTCGCGTCCCAGTTCCTTTTCTCACCAGGCTTTGGCGATACAGAGACAGCACGTCCTTCAGCTTCAGTATTGCTAACCATATCCACATTGGGATTCATACCCACATTGGGGCTTTCTGCAACCAAGGCTTCTTCCAGATGTTCTTCAGCGCCGGGAATCACCTCTTCCAACACCGATCTTTCACCCAGAGACTCAGCTGCACCATTTCCAGCTCCACCATTTTGTCCACCATCCGAGGCAGGTTGGAGCCATCGCTTCGGAGAAGGCATTGCTTCTTGATCCCAAAGATCTTAAGACAACACTCAACCGCAGGGAACCTAATTTGGGCTCATAACCTACGGGGGGACAACCAAGGAAGGAAATCAACTCCCCTAATCGCCCTGAACTTATATTTCCCAGATCGAACCAAGAAACAAACAAGAACACGGATAAGAGCAACCCAGGGGGGAAGGAAAGGGGGAAGGAATCCACACCCTTACCAAACCCTAAGAACCCAGGCACTACTTTTTGAACTTGTGGCTTTCTGTTCAAGCCCATCTTGAGCCAAACATGATTTCCGGGTTCATTAACCCTTCCAACTCTCAACGCTAACTCTTTTCTACAATACCAATTGCAGCTCCGCACCCTAAACCCTAAACCCTGGTTGTTACAGAAAGACATTTCTTTACTTACCGTTGTTCGCTCTTGGCTCAAGAAAAAGGAGTGTGCACGTTTCCCTTAATGTCGGGGTTGTCTGCTGGTTTCAATAGGTTTTCAGCCGTAGAAGCACGCTAGATTGACCACTCTGCGATGACGGACCAAGCTCCGCTAGGTCCTGCAGGCATACCAGTCCCGGATGAAATGCTCCAGGTGAGGACGCCGCTCCCTGGGAGGGTGAGCTCCCGTTGACCACAACGGCACTGAGGCTACACGATCATAGGCTCTTTCAGAAAGGTGCAGTTTCCGAGGCCGGTGTCACCACAGGTGCCTCGAGCCATCAGACTGCATCCGCGCCTTGGCAGGTTGTGTCCCCTAGTGCTAGACAACTTTCGGCCAGCCTTCCAATAGCAGCCGGAGGAAGCTCACCCCAAGATGTTAGTCCGTCAGCACAGAGTCTTTTCCAACCGACCTCCTCGACTATGAACCGTTTGACAATTGGCGATCAGCGAATCCTGCAGAATCAGGCAAACATTAGGAATATGTTTGTTCAGAATGACAGGTCGCCGTTACTTGAGCAAATAGCTGAACATCGCCACAGTCAGATCGTTGGTCAGATCGCGAACAATTTTCAGGAGCAACTCCAAGCAATGGGTATGAATGTCATGTCGGGAGTCTCGCAACTCGGAGTTGAACTTGCTCAGGCCGAAACCAGATTAGGCAGTGAGGAGACACAGGCCAGACAGAGATTGGCCACTGGTCAGTCGCAGCTTGACTCGCAGGCCACTGATATCAACATGGCGCGAGGTGAAGCTCAAGCTTTGGCCCAAAGGTTATGCGCTGCTGAGAACTACCTACGCTAGACTGCGTGATCAACTTCACCAAGCGGAAGCTAACGCTGTAAGCAATGCGGATCTCCTCAATGCTGAAATGGATAGTGCCCGTGTCGCCGCTGCCCAGGCCACGCGTGCAGTTCAGGCAACATCTGAGGTCGAGATCTCACGCTTGACTGCTGAAGTCAGGGATTTCAGGATGATGATGAGTCATGAGTCAGAGAAAAGAAAGATGGCGGAAAAAGAGAATGCTGAACTGAAATCGCAGCTAAGCCAGGCCATCGCAGCTCTGCAGGCTCACACAAGCGCAACCGGGTCCGCCCCAGCTGCGCCACCGGGTTTGACCCCAACCTTTCCCATCAATACTCCACCTTCAGGACGCCAAAGGGCCAAAGCCCCGACGCCACCCTGACGGGGGGAGGCCCTGATGGAGATGATGATGGCAGCGATGATGATGACTCAAGCAGCAGTCATAAGAAGAAGAAGAGCAAGAAGAAAGACAAGAAAAGCAAGAAAAGAGATTCCAGTTCCTCTTCTGATCTTTCGCCTAAGCAGCTCAAAGCAATCATCAAGCAACTTGACAAAGGAAAGACTAACGAGAAAGAGGAAGTTGATGAGGATGGTAACAAGACCAAGTCCAAGGAGGCTGAAAAGATCCTGTTCCCGAAGTTCCCGACACCTGAACAGTACAGGAACTGGCGCATTAGGGTTCGTGAAGCTGTGGTAGTAGCATCCCATAAGCCGGATGAAGCTTTTGAATGGCTTTCAAAGGTATGGGACAAGGACTCTAAGGAAGAGGAGTTGAGAGACACAGGTAGTTTCTCCACTCTTGATGCTAAGGTCTTGTCGGCAGTGACAAACGTGCTCGAAGGTGACTTCGCGCGCAAAATGGACACCCTCAAGGAGAGAGAGGCTCACGCCGGGAGGCTGGTGAGGGGAAGACAAATCCTATTTCTCCTGCATCAGTACTTTGCCACCAACATCCTGCACAATTCCGTGTATGACATGGAAGATCTTCTTTCAATGACGTTGGTCAACGAGAACCTTGTGATGTTTATTAGGAACTAGGATACGGTGCTTTCAGGCATTCAGACCATGCCGGAAGACAACGTTCTCGAACCACTCTTTCATAGGCAGGTAAAGAAATGCAAAGCACTTCAGCACGATATGAAGAAATGCAAAGCACTTCAGCACGATATTGCCATTTATGAAAGGGCTGCCGAAGGCTCCAGTGAAAGATCGTTCAAATTTCTGTATGATGCCTCCACTAGCCACTTGAATCGCAAAAGGCTTGAGAGGAACCGAGAGCGGATTGCCAAGCAAACTGGAGCCCTGTTGTTCCTACAGCGTACCCAAAGGGTTTTGCATTTCTTTTGTCAAGAATGGCAGTTGCAAGAACGGTTGCAGTTGTAAATACAAGCGCCCAGACGCCCAGCGGACGTGGTAGATCGCAGTCACCCGGCGGCCGTGGGAGAAGTCCTTCTAGACCTAACTCCCCGTCAGGAAAGCCTCGAGTGTGCAAGTTCTACAAACAAAGTCGTTGTGACCGTGGAGAAAATTGCAACACCGGAAAGACAGGTGCCGCTGCCACACCCGACGGAAGTCAGAAGGGATCTACGCGCCCTGACAAGGGCAAGGACAAAAAGAAGAAGAAGAAGAAGAAGGAACGCAAGGGCTCCAGGGCTAGCTCCAAGGGTTCTAAGGGTAGCGGGTAGCAAGGGTTACGCCGGCGTGTCAATTTGCGGGGGGCACGGCCGCGGCAAGCCAGCAGCCTGTGACGCCGTCCAAGGCCGCTCCGAAGGAAAAGAAGCGGCCCAAGGCTCAGGCTAAGGCTGGGCAGCCACTCATGTACCCGCGTAGGAACCTCCCCAAGCCCAACGCCCACGATCAGGAGGCCGAGCGCAAGCAGGCAGCCGATGCCGAGAAGTCAAGCTCGAGTTCAGAGCTCCTCGACACGCGGGCTCCTGCAGCCGCGGTCAACAAGAAGGTAGCGCCAAGCGAGAAGGAAGTCCTCGCACTAAACCGGATGGTAGTCCAGCACTGCTGCCTCCGATGCCCTCCTCCGTGCTCAGTACCGCATCATGTAGCTGGCCGAGCAAAAGTTGACGGAGCTCGATGAGGTGCTCAGGCGGGAGGCAAAGGAGGAGGCCGGGGCCAAGGTCAAGACTCTTCGCGTGAAGTTTGAGATGCCAGAAGGCCAGGCGGCCAAAGAAGGCGCCGGCGCCGGAGAAATCTGGGATGAAGGGGAGGACCCGGCTGCCCCTGCGCGGGGCGGGACCGCAAGGTCCTCCCAGCGAGAAGCGACCCGGCGCCTGACGCGGACTGGCACTATCCTTGCAGTGCCCCGAACTGCATTGGTCTTTGCCTCCATCACGCAGTACCACCTGCACCAGGCGGCTTGCCACGCTGCGCCACTGCCGACAGACCTCGGCGTTAGCTTTCGCCAAGACTGGCGGGGACACTTGTTCCGCCGCGGCAAGGATGGGGGCTACGCAGAGGTCCCCTTGCAGGTTACTCGCTTTCACAAGGCGAATGGCTACGACTCCCTCTGCTCCAGAAAGGAGATCGTATCCAGCTCTTGGACGGACTCTGACAGCTCCGGCGGCAGCAATGCGCCACGGGAGGAAACTCTGCTGGACTCTGCTGGATCTGCTGGACTCTGCTGGACTCTGCTGGACTCTGCTACACTCTGCCACGTTCTGCCACGCTCTGTACGCTCTGCTACGTTCTGCTGGACTCTGCTAGGCTCTGCTACGCTCTGCCACGCTCCGCTACGCTCTGCTACATGCACTCCGAAGACCAACGGCTGATCCACGTGGCCACAAGTTGCAGATTCTGCATTTCTTCTTGTCTCTCTTTCTTGTTTGTTATGCTGCTTCGTGGCATAAGCCCCCTACGGAGATCGAACCCGTGACCATACGCTTACGGAGCGCATGCTCTGCCAACTGAGCTAAAGAGGCTTCTGCCAAGGTTCGAGACTTTCTTCTCAATGACCCTGAAGTAATGCATAGCACAATTCAGACAAGCTCTCGCTAGGCATTTTTCTTTGTTTCCTTCTTGCTTTCTCCCTCTCTCTCTCTCTCTCTCTCTCTCTCTCTCTCTCTCTCTCTCTCTCTCTCTCTCTCTCTCTCTCTCTCTCTCTCTTTTTCTCCAGCTGTTGTCTGTCTGAGAAATGGACACACTGGATTGAACCCAGGGCCTTCCGCATGCGAAGTGGATGTGATACCACTACACCATGTGCCCCTTGAATACATGCAACATTTCAACCAACATGACCCAAGAAAAAAGCTTTTTTTGCAGAATTTGCATGAAAAATCACAAAAATGTCGATAACGGCTACACTGTCAAGTGAGAAACTGGAAAGAAAGGTCCCGCGCGGATGTGAGCCACGCGACCAGTTAACATTTTCTCCGGTTGACAATCCATATTTTTGAGATCTGCACCGCGACAACATCAGGGCCTGTGTATTTGTCTCGCCATCTTTCTTACAGCTCCTTTTGCTGCACTCTCTCTGCTACACTCTCTCTGCTACTCTCTCTGCTACACTCTCTGCTACTCTCTCTGCTACTCTCTCTGTTACTCTCTCTGCTACTTTCTCTGCTCCTCTCTCTGCTACTCTTTCTGCCACTTTCTCTGCTACTCTCTTTGCTACTCTCTCTGCTACTCTCTGCTACTCTCAGCTACCCTCATCCGTTTGGCGTGGCTCGTGCAATTTACAGATGCTCTGGGATCCGTTTGGCAGTGTCATGTTCATACCGACCCCTTTTTAAGTGCGGGCATACGCCCCAGCCCGTGGACACCGCCGTGCCGGGGTGACTGGTGTGATTGTCCTGGTGCTGCTTTGGGTAGAGGGTTTCCCCCGTCAGGCTGGTTTCATGTGCTGAACTTTGAACCTTTGAAGGTGCTGAAAGCTGCTGCACGCTAGGTGCGGACCCAAACTAGGTGCAGCAACTGAGCAGCGCTCGCTGGCCCACTGCTCGCTGCCTGCTCGGGCGGCTCTTGCAGCGCAGGTCGAAGCTGATCGGTTGGCACTGGCAGTGCCTGCACAAACGGCACACCATCCTCAAGCAGCAACCACCAATCATCATCTTCGGGGTCGTTGCTTTCATGTGCCTCGAAGAAGTTTCTGGACGGGAGCAGACTACTAGACGAGCAATCATCGTCCTCACCACTTAGTTTCCACTCAAGGCTATCGTATAGTGATCTTACCTGACCTGCGATCATATTCATGCGGTGGGACTATCTTGGCTTGACCAGTATTTTCAGCGGCATCGAAACGTTTTTCATTTCCTTTCTTGCAGCGGCGCGTACAGGAAGGCTTTTCTTATCTCTAGGATTGGCTGACAAGTGGGCCTTGCAGAGGCGGAGTGTGCCGCCGGTTTGTCGCCCAGCGGCGCAAATGACACGTCGTGGCGACCCTCTAGAGCCAAATCTGGCACAGGTGCCTGCTAGGAAAAGCTGAGAAGCACACTTCACCGCCCACGCGATATCCAACCTTGTTTTCGTGACCAAACGCCCCTGCGCGAAGCGAAAAGATGCCATGGACATTCTCGTCATCTTCGGTCTTCTGATGCTTCTCAGCTGGATATTGCGTCGTTGTGTCAAATAATACCTACCATTGTGCAGTCACAAGGTGCAAACCGTCCTCTGCAAAATTGAAGTCGGCCAAAGTGTCTGAATGTGTCATTGAATCCAAGAAGCCTCTGCAGATCGTCAATGTCAGCCCCTTCAAAGCGTTGATGGATCATCGGAAATTTTGGAGAAAAGTCTCGAAATCGCTCTACATTAATATAGTCTGTGCTCCAAACCCGAACGGCGTGCGATGGCTTTCAGCAAAAAACCATCAAATAGCAGTTGGCGCAACAAAGGGCCACCCCAGACCACCTCTCGGTCGGAATAATGATGTATATCAAGGCATAAAACCTCAACCACCCTCAGTACGTGGAAGCGAAGAAATTATCACAAAAATGACCGCAGACGCAGGCCAATTTCTAAATTAGATTCATTTAGCTAGACTTCGGTTCGCGATACGTATGGCCTTCACGTAAGGTTGGAGCCGGAATCTCAAGGCTCCACTATCCTAGAACCGCTTAATTTTAATTTGAAATTTCGATCCTTGTCCCATATTAAGCGTCTATGCAAAATAGACCTTTAGATGAGAATCGAATTTAATCGATTTGGATGACCATATTCCGATCGATCTAATTCACATCTCCCAGACAAATTTCTTTGTATTATCATCCTCCCTTACGAGATTTTCCAATATATCCTTATATAAATAGTACTGGATATCCGAATCTTTGGGCACCGACGCGCATTTTCACCAACATATAATTTCCTATCATCTCAGAGAACATTGTTCCCATCTCCCCCTTCTGGCTGCTCCATCTTTCCACCAACGGTCGGCTCTACATCTCCAAACATAGCTCACTCGCCCAAATAGAATGTCATCAGCAGAGATTAATCAGCAAAACCCCAAGAATAAAACTCTTCCGCCTAATCTGAAGATTCTGACAACGAAAAACTTTAGCACGCCAATTACACTTGACTTCACCTGCCCACCATTAGAGCTACGAGAAATAACATACAAGCCCTTGCCACCCTTTCCAGTACTCATTGAATCCCTTTCACAGAAAAAGGCCTCACACAACTGCCGTGCATTATCGGCTTCCTCAGCACTGGATTCACCAGACGTCTCAGTATAAGAAACGAAATCAATTGGCATTTATTTATTGGTCTTTCTGAAGATATTTCAGATTATCAATTGCCTATCTATCATCCACCCGATCCGTCCAAACTCGACTAAGCCGGAAGGCCAGCCTGCCCTGAACCACCGGCACCGGTTTAGGCGCAGGCTCCTGGTCGCACGACGATTTGAACGTGTCCTTGGCACCCTTAGCACCTATTTTCGGTTCAATAATTATCTCCCCCGCTTTGGGGGATTTGACCGAGGTCGAGTTTCATTGTTTGGGGGGTTCACCGGTGGCATTCCAACTCCCACCAACTGTAGCTTCTGCACGCACAGCGGAGACCTTTGCTCCAAAGTCCAAGCCTCGCGGTATCTTCCA